ACTTGTTTATTTCCATCTTCGTATTTTACCCTGAAACCAAAGTGTTCCCAAACGGAGGACTTAAGGTTTGCAGGTGGGCCTTCAGGTTCGTCAGGCTCACTTGCCATGTTGTCAAAATGCGAGAATGCGCTGCACAAAGTGAAAGCGGAGATTTACGGTCGGACTCGGTCCATCACTCAATTATGTCCGTCAGGGAACTAGATATTTTAAATGGTTCGGCTCGCAAAAACAGAATTAAAATAAAACAAAATAAAATAAAATAATATCCTGCGCCTGATAATTCGGTACAGGGTCGTGCCGAACCGAAAGTCGTGTACCGAACGGTTCGACACAAATACATGTACCGTTACAGCCCTAGTCTTTAGCTTTCGTTTGTTATTCTGTTTTATTTTAATATTTTTTTATTTTTAGTATATGCAGGAGTGAAATGATGACTTCACTGGCAACACTGACCAAGCCACTTTATCAGATCAACGCTAATAACTCTATTGTTAGTGTGTCCTGCAACAAAAATATATTTTCAGATGTGACAATAAACAGAAATACAAGTGTATTTTCCTCTTAAATAAAAAAAGAATATTGAAATTAGGCTTCAAAAAATAAGGTCATCTCACAACAGAAAGCTAAAGTTGTTGCTACTCTTAGTATTGTTACCTGCAAGAAGCACTGCGGATAATCCATTGTTTTACCTGTTTTTTATTCTTAGTTTTGAAATGAATTTAAACTGTCTGTTAGTGAAATGTAAACTTTAATAAGACCTTTTATTCTGAAATATTTGTCATGTTGTATTGTATGATGTCATCTTTTCTTCGTCCTCCACTTGCTGCTGAAGTCTTGTCAAAACGTGCTTTCTGATATATTTAATCTTCTCCGACCAAACCTTTTTAAGATTTTTGATGATACTAAAGGACAGAGTCAGTTACCTCCACGAGCTACCAGGTTACCAACACAATACGGCCTCCACCTCTATGGTTATCAACAGAGTGATTAGTGTTGAAAGAGGTGTCACATGACCCGGTGTTAGGGGCTTAGAGCGTGGCACCAGGAGGTCCGGTAGCACAAGGGTCAGCTTGACTGGTGCAGAGAGAGACCAGTAGCTCTGAACAACCATGGCCAGTAGGAACAAGAAACCAGGTGAGTTGGGTCGTGTTGTAGGTGGAAATGGTTTCCACAGGTGGCACAGGAAGGAGATGAGATACAGGTGGACGACAGGTGCTGTAACTCCTGTGTGTCCTGAAGCTCACAGGTAGAAATGTTGCTCAAACTCACTGCTCAGGAAACATTTGTCCAAATAATCTGTTATCTGGAAACTTTGTCCTATTCTTTCAGTCATTGTGAGGAAGTCTGTTTCTCTTTCTGTGTTTCATTTCAGTTGATGCTGATGAGATTAAGAGGCTAGGGAAGAGATTTAAGAAACTCGACCTAGATAACTCTGGGTCTCTGAGTGTGGAGGAGTTTATGTCCTTACCAGAGCTCCAACAGAATCCCCTCGTGCAGCGAGTTATCGACATATTCGACACAGATGGAAACGGGGAAGTCGACTTTAAAGGTAAATGAATCATTTTTCCTCCTCACTGTAATATATCATGTGTTCTTGAATTTAAACTTTTTCTCCCTCTGAAAGTTTTTACTACTGATATCAGTCCTGAAGATATGGGACGTTAGGCTGCTGCACCTGAGAAGGCCTTCGATCTGTTTTGGTATTTAAATACTGTAAATATTTCACTTATTCTTGAGCATTGGGACAAAACCTTACTTTTCTATCAGGCTTTTCTATCAGGCTCTGTTAATGGGCCATCTCCCCAGTAATTTATTTTTTTCTTGAACATCATACATGATGGATGTCAGAGGTTAGATCTGACAGAGTCGACAAAGAGTTATATATTTATTGATTTCACAGCAGTCATACTGAGGAGCCATTTTATTATTGAGAGTTGCCAGGAGATTTCTCAGTGCTCATCAGAACAGTAGATTTTTAACCATAATGTTCATTTAGTTTGGATTTCGGGGGCTACAGAGTTGACCTGTTACGGTTGAGACACACCTGATAGCAATATTATTTATTGAATTTATCAAAAATTAGAAAGTGTTCCACAACTTGAGCAGCGTTCCCACCTCTTTTTGGAAACCAGGAAGTGAGACAGGACTCTCTGTGATAGAGCTCACTCCTTTTGTACCTGATTAAATTACGTTTTTATAGAAATCTGAGCCTTGACAGAAATCTGGGACACGTCTTTAAAGGGTCTAAATAATGTATTTTAAAACAAAAATGATTATAGTAGTTACACCAATGTTATCAATATGTACTGTTAGTTTTAGTTTTTGAAGGCATTTCATGCATTTTTTATTCGTCTGAAGTTGTGAATTCTGCCACGGGGCAAGTTTAAAGTTTAAAAAACAAAAGCAGATCAAAGTATTTTGAAATTATGTTTTTTCTTATAAATAAATCCTTTAAAAATAATGTTTCACCTCAGAAACAAAATCACTGTGTTGGTAAGTAATGATTATAAGTTGTTTTTTGTTTTTTTGTAGGACATGATTTGTCCCAGTTCAGTTTATTCAAATGAAAGGTGAAATGAAGGTGATTTATTGTGTGAATACAGCAGCATTAGCGAGTTTATCAGTGCTTGAACTGTTGTTGCTGCTCTGATAGCACTTCACAATTGCAAAGCACTGCTTTGGCAAATCCACAAATGATGCTAAAATCAAACATCTTGTGCCAAAGTGAGAGCAGTCTCTACAAGTAGTATAGCATTACCTCATTAATAAGTTTGGTAGAAATGCATTTTTGTATGAAACGATGAAAACTTTATCCTCTGTCCTTGAATCTGTCACTGTCTGTGGTATTTATATATATTGTAATAAAGTACATTTTAGTTAGGAAAACAACTTTATGTAGCTTTGGCCAGGTACAGACTCAGTGAAGTCCTTGCACAGCTCTCTCAGTCAAATTATAAATCTAAAAACAGATAAATAATACAGTAAATAAAATGCCTGACAAATCAAGATCATTTTTCACTTGGATACAAAAATCATATAAAGGTCTCCCCTTCATTGGATGCCTTTATTGCATGTCTCTCTGGACAAGCACATCATCTAAATGACCGTAGTAAGATATAAAAACCCAGAACTTTCATACATCATTCCTGCTCATTTTGTGCCACAAAATACACAATGTGCCGGAAATTATCTCAGTGCTTCAGAATTCCATTTAGTGCATTAAATACTGTCCACAGGTCCAGAGAGCTGAAAAAGTTAGAGCATCAAATGATTGCGAATTTGGAGGTTCAATTCCCGACTCCTCCTGTCTTCAAGTTGAAGGGGTGAATGAGATTTATAAATGCAGTCTGTTTGGTTGAAGTACAGAAAACTTGTCCCTGTTAAGATCGTCAAGATCAACATTGTGTTTTTAGATCAGTTGAGTTCAGACAACTTTATTTATTTATTTATCCCACAACGATAATTCAGTTTTACAGTCAACTCAGACCATACATAAACTCACAGACAGTATGTCACAGAGATCAATACATGGGCAAAAGATGCACACTGGCACCTCATGTGGTCCCTTGCATACGCACACGAGGATCAGGCAAAGAATAAAAATTCTCATACTTGAATAAACTAAGTATTAAATGTAAGTAAAACATTTGAATGCATTGCACATTACTCAACTACATTTACTGAATGTATGGGCTTGCCAAGTATGTGGTTACAAAATGAGGCATTCATTTAAAAAAGACTGCAGTCAACATTTAGCAGCCTGATAGCATAGATAGATTCTTTAATGACATTTTCTGTCATACTATACTATGACTTTTTTATGACTTTTTTTTGGACATACTATACTATGACTTTTTAGACATACTGTACTATGACTTTTTTATGACATACTATACTATGACTTTTTTGACATACTATACTATGACTTTTTGTTACATACTAGTATGGATTGTTTATGACTTACTATGCTGTGACTTTCTTGTGACATTTTTTGAAATACTACACTATGACATTTTTGACATACTATACTATGAATTTTTTGACATACTATACTATGACCTTTTTATGACATTTTTAGACATACTATACTATGACTTTTTTATTACTTTTTTGGACATACTATACTATGACTTTTTTATGACATATTATATTATGATTTTTATGACATACTGTACTATGATTTTTTGACATACTATACTATGACTTTTTGTTACATACTAGTATGGATTGTTTATGACTTACTATGCTGTGACTTTCTTGTGACATTTTTTGAAATACTATACTATGACATTTTTGACATACTATACTATGAATTTTTTGACATACTATACTATGACCTTTTTATGACATTTTTAGACATACTATACTATGACTTTTTTATTACTTTTTTGGACATACTATACTATGACTTTTTTATGACATATTATATTATGATTTTTATGACATACTGTACTATGATTTTTTGACATACTATACTATGACTTTTTGTTACATACTAGTATGGATTGTTTATGACTTACTATGCTGTGACTTTCTTGTGACATTTTTTGAAATACTATACTATGACATTTTTGACATACTATACTATGAATTTTTTGACATACTATACTATGACCTTTTTATGACATTTTTAGACATACTATACTATGACTTTTTTATTACTTTTTTGGACATACTATACTATGACTTTTTTATGACATATTATATTATGATTTTTATGACATACTGTACTATGATTTTTTGACATACTATACTATGACTTTTTGTTACATACTAGTATGGATTGTTTATGACTTACTATGCTGTGACTTTCTTGTGACATTTTTTGAAATACTATACTATGACATTTTTGACATACTATACTATGAATTTTTTGACATACTATACTATGACCTTTTTATGACATTTTTAGACATACTATACTATGACTTTTTTATTACTTTTTTGGACATACTATACTATGACTTTTTTATGACATATTATATTATGATTTTTATGACATACTGTACTATGATTTTTTGACATACTATACTATGACTTTTTGTTACATACTAGTATGGATTGTTTATGACTTACTATGCTGTGACTTTCTTGTGACATTTTTTGAAATACTATACTATGACATTTTTGACATACTATACTATGATTTTTTGACATGCTATACTATGATTGTTTTGACATACTATACTATGACCTTTTTATGACATTTTTAGACATACTATACTATGACTTTTTTATGACTTTTTTGGACATACTATACTATGACTTTTTTATGACATATTATATGATTTTTATGACATACTATACTATGACTTTTTCATGACATTTTTTGGACATACTATACTATGACTTTTTTGACATACTATACTGTGACTTTTTTATGACATATTATATTATGATTTTTATGACATACTATACAATAACTTTTTTTGACATACTATGCTATGACTTTTTGTTACATACTAGTATGGATTGTTTATGACTTACTATGCTATGACTTTCTTGTGTCATTTTTTGAAATACTATACTATGATTTTTTTGACATACTATACTATGACTTTTTTATGACATTTTTTTGGACATACTATACTATGACTTTTTTATGACTTTTTTGACATACTATACTATGACTTTTTGACATACTATACTATGACTTTTTTATGACTTTTTTGACATACTATACTATGACTTTTTTTTTTTTACTTTTTTTGACATACTATACTATGACTTTTTGACATACTATACTATGACTTTTTTGACATACTATACCATGAATTTTTTATGACTTTTTTGACATACTATACTATGACTTTTTGACATACTATACTATGACTTTTTTTATGACTTTTTTTTGACATACTATGACTTTTTTGACATACTATACCATGACACTTTTATGACTTTTTGACATACTATACTATGACTTTTTTTGACATACTGTACAATGACTTTTTGACATACTATACTATGACTTTTTTATGACTTTTTTTGACATACTGTACTATGACTTTTTGACATACTATATACTATGACTTTTTTTGACATACTATGCTATGACTTTTTTGACATACTGTACTATGACTTTTTTATGACTTTTTTGACATACTATACTATGACTTTTTTATGACTTTTTTTGATATACTGTACTATGACTTTTTGACATACTATACTATGACTTTTTTATGACTTTTTTTGACATACTATAGTATGACTTTTTTATGACTTTTTGACATACTATACTATGACTTTTTTATGACTTTTTGACATACTATACTATGACTTTTTTGACATACTATACTATGACTTTTTTATGACTTTTTTGACATACTATACTATGACTTTTTTATGACTTTTTTGACATACTATACTATGACTTTTTTGACATACTATACTATGACTTTTTTATGACATTTTTTGACATACTACATGACCTTTTTTGACAAACTATGCTATTCCTTTTAGTATGACATACTATAGTATGACTTTTTTTCTCAACTCAAGTATTTGCGTCCCCTTGATGTGGTTCTCCCTGATGCATGCCTGTGTGTTGTCTCTAATTGTGTGAGATGTGAACCTGACAATTATGTCACCCCTATGTGTGTTTCCTTTATGAATAAATTTGCATTTTCAGCCTTTAATGGATAGGACAGACAAGTGTGAAAGGGTGAGAGAGAGAGGGAGTGACGTGCAGCAAAGGTCCACAGGCTGGAGTCGAACCCGGGCCGCTGCAGCAACAGTGTGGTGCCTGCTCTACCACTAAGCCACTGACGTCCCTAGTATGACTTTTTTATGACGTTATATGACAGACTATGTCACTGAAAAGTCATAGTATAGTATGTCAAAAAATGTCATAAAAAGTCATAGTATAGTATGTCAAAAAAAAAAAAGTCATAGTATAGTATGTCCAAAAAAATGTCATAAAGTCAAACTATAGTACGTCATAGAAAATGTAAATTTTATATCTGATAAAAAAAAAAATAAATAAAAAATGTGCAATATGTCATAAAAATGTCATAGTATTGTATGGCATAAAAATGTGATAATATTCCATAAAAAATTCATAGTATAGTATTGTTAGGATGAATGCCTCAGCGAGGGGAACCATTGTTGTTACTAAGCCTTAACATGGGCCTGAGCTCGTAACAGATCTCCAATTTAAGTATAAAAATGGCTATTGGACATAATTTACAATTATTATTAATAATAATTATTAATAATGTCAAATAATGTGACTTAATTTACATTAAATTATCATATTAATTATCATATTAATAGTAAAGACTAAAGGATTTTGGAGTATATGACATAGCAGAGGTTGAATATTCATTCATGCTTGTGCAACATTAAACAGACAGCAGGTATGATTCCAAATATATTTATTCACATAGAAAGCAAAGCAAACAAAACACACAAATTCTAACTAACTATATACAAGTATGGGTGTGTGTATGTGTGTGTAGGTGTGTGTGTGTATATGAGATAGAGAGAGAGAAAGAGACAAAGGCGGGTGTGTGAAACAAAAGGCCGATTGGCCTACAAACAAAATTGGAACGGAGGAGGTTTGCCTGACAGGACAAAAACAAAGTAAAAGAAGTGGGAACTTTGAGTTGCCTCTTTAGGTGTGGCTATGTTGAAAGCCAATGTGTGAGTAAGTATGTGTGTGTGATTTATGTTACAAAGTACACAGGATGTTTAGTTGCATGCGTAACTTTGTCTGTGTAAAGCATCAGAAAACTAACATCATGTAGCTTTGGCCAAGCCAGCTAACCAATAAGCTAACTGCAAACAATCCCAACCGTAACTCAGTAAACATCATTAAATCACAATTGACAAAGTCTTGCTTAGCCTGTACAACTGCAATGTCCTGCTATGCCCAGTTATTATGTTACCAATCTTTGAATGGATGGAGGGAAGAGTTGTTTTGTGGTGTGCTGCTTTTTAGCCGATAGATGAAGGCTGACAGAGCTGTGGTTCCAGGTGCAGTCTTTGCTGTGTCCTTGTTCTGAAGGTGCAGATCCGAGAAAACCGGTTGCTCGGGGCCCTTGCAGAGTTAGACGTTGGGGTGCTAACTCAACTTGGTTCTCCTTGTTGCTGGAAAGTTAGTTGCAAACCTTGTGTTTGGCACACAAACCTGTGTGGTCTCCAGGTTTTGCTTCTGCTGTGAGTGAGGAGAAGAGAGTCTTTGGAGCAAGAGCCGGTCAGTGGCTCAAGAGAAGGAGCAGCAAGAGTCTGTAGATCAAGTGCCTCCTGCGATGGTTCAGGGGCAAGAGCATCTGTGCCAGCGGAACAAAGAACGTGTGGTGTCGGCCACCATTTCAAATGCCAAGGCCCAGAGAAGAAAGGCCTTGACATGTCCAGTTTAGACTTAACAAGTGACAAATCATCTGTGGTCCAGTGAATCCCAATAGTATGTCATAAAAAAAAGTCAGAGTAATATGTCACAAGAATGTCATAAGAATGTCATATGTCATAAAACATGTCATAGTTTGGTATCTTGTAAAAATATCATTGTGTAATATGTAATAAAAATGTAAAACCTCGTAGTATGTCATATCATATGTTGCAGAAATGTCCTAAAAAAATTCATAGTATAGTATGTCATAAAAATGTCCTTAAAACAATCCTTGTACAATATCTCATAAAAATATCATTGTGTAATATGTAATAAAAATGTAAAAAGGAAACAAAAGAGTCATAGTACAGCATGTCTCAAAAATGTCATAGTATAGTTAAACAAAAGAAAAAATTGAGTGCTGCCCTGGGTCAGAATAAAATGAATCAAAAGACCACACAGGTGCTCTTTGAGGACAAGGAAAAATTGATGTATAAAAAAGAAGGACTGTCCTATTCATAAACCCAGATATCAAAATGTAGTCCAAACTAAGAGTCCGAGACACTCTGGGGGTAGTGTAAAAATCCTTTAATAAAATGGAGATATCAACGCATTTCGACTATACAAGTCTTCATCAGGATATACTAATTTATAGTATAGTATGTCTCTAAAGGTCATATTATAGCATGTCAAAAAAGTCATAGTATAGCATGTCTCTAAAGGTCATAGTATAGCATGTCTCTAAAAGTCATAGTATAGTATGTCGAAAAAAGTCATAGTATAGTAAGTCGAAAACGTCATAGTATAGTATGTCAAAAAAGTCATGGTATAGTATGTCGAAAAAAACAGTAATAGTATAGTATGTCAAAAAAGTCATAGTATAGTATGTCGAAAAAGTCATAGTATTAGTATGTCAAAAAGTCAGTATAGTATGTTGAAGTCATAGTATGTCAAAAAAGTCATAGTATGTCGAAAAAAGTCATAGTATATAGTATGTCGAAAAAAATCATAGTATAGTAAGTCAAAAAAGTCATAGTATATAGTATGTCGAAAAAAATCATAGTATAGTAAGTCGAAAAAAATCATAGCATAGTATGTCGAAAAAAGTCAGTAGTATGTCGAAAAAGTCATAGTATAGTAAGTCGAAAAAATCATAGTATAGTATGTCAAAAAAAGTTATAGTATAGTAAGTCGAAAAAAAAAGTCGTAGTATAGTATGTCGAAAACTGTCAGTTGAATCCATATGTGTCAACAAAGTCAACGTGTTTTAGTGGTTGCTGGGTCATCTTGTAATTATTTGCATCACAGTGGGTAATTTCCTGTTTACAAATTACATTTATTATGTAGCAGCAAGTTTAATATCTAACCTGCTGTTAACCCATGATGTTTGTGTGTCCTTCGGCAGAATTCATCGAAGGAGTCTCCCAGTTCAGCGTCAAAGGTGACAAGGAGCAGAAGTTACGTTGTAAGTGTCCAACAAATATCAGGTGTCATCACATCTCTAATGCTTTTTTATCATTATTAATCAGTTATGTACTTTACCGTTAAAAAGTTGACTCCTCTTTATGTTTGAATGGTGTTTGACTTTCAGGTTGTCGAAAGTCCTCTTTACAATTAGACGCTGTTCAGTATGAAGGGTTTGTTTGGTACATAGAGAACAAAACACTGTATGATGATTCAACCAGACAAAGATCCCTCTGAGCAACAGCTGAATAAGGATGGAAGAAGTCAGCAGTCATGGTTTTAAAGAAACTGGAATCTTAACATCAAAATGAGCGCAGATTTAACAGAAGAGGTTCCTGTTTCAGCGTCAAACGCACAATAATGCCTAAAATAAGCTGGAATTAACTTCAGTGAAGCTCTTCTTCAAACTTCACAATAGAAATAGAGGGTTAGTGTAGGGCAGTGATACTTAACCTGCAGCCTGTGGGCCAAATCTGAGCAGTGACAGGGGAATGGGGGAATGTCTTTCGTACTTTAAAGGTAAATAAGGTGCCAGAGTGCATAAAAAGCATCAGAACAGAGCTTGTTGATTAAAAAAAGGCTGTATCCCCAGCACCACCCGACAGAGGTCTGGGCTAATTATTTATATATTAATTATTAATGTTTGTTTATTAATTGGCCCCCGGCCTCCTGTCAAATGGCCCCTGAGCAAAGCAAGTTGAGTATCCCTGTTCTGGGGTTTAATTCAGGTGTCCAAATTTAAACATCTAGATCGCAGCAAGAGCTTTTTTGTTTTGTTTAGGACGTGGACTTTAACTTAAACTTAAATATCCACATTGATCACCTGTTGTTACATATTTGTGTACGTTGCCCTTTAAAGTGCACCTTGTAAAATAAACGCTGACATCATTCCTCTTGTCGCCTCTCTGACCTCAGTTGCCTTCAGGATCTACGACATGGACAAAGACGGCTACATATCCAACGGCGAGCTCTTCCAGGTCCTCAAGATGATGGTGGGAAACAACCTGAAGGACACCCAACTCCAACAGATCGTCGACAAGACCATCATCAACGCAGACAAGGACGGCGACGGCAGGATATCCTTTGAGGAGTTCTGTGCGGTGAGTATTGACGAAGATTCAGCTTCAACACCTTTTTCTACATCTCCTGTGCACTAACCAGAGAGCTTTAGTCTGAAAACACAGCTTCAAGACAGAGTTTAGATTTCTGGAACAACTTTACCTCCTTTAAAGGTGCACCGAGAGGAAAAAGTCTGAAGAGGTCAAAACTTCCCCTCTTTTTCTTGTGAGACTGCGATGAAGGTCACAGGCCAAAACACGCTCTTACAAAACATGTATTCTTGTTTCGACCTCTTGTGGCTGAAAGCAGCTGCTGGCTCCTGCTACAAACATAGAAGCGAAAAGATTCAATTGCTGAGAGAGAAACAAGACAATAAATGTGCCGTGAAACCAAAACTAGGAGCTAAAACAGCTAAAAGGCTCCATAGAGCGTCGTTCCTGTGGGCTACAGCAACACTAAACCCCTGAGCTTGCCTGAGAAGGACTAAATGCACAAAGCTGCTATTTTTAAATATCCCATGGAGAGAGAGACTCACTGCAGCCTGTTCTATTTTGTTCTGAAAATGTGGGCGTGCAGCCTCGTTCTGTGGACGACAAACCAGGTAAACCAGGTACAACGAAGCTCTGCAGAGCCGCCAGGTTCTGAAAGGAGACAGAGGCACAGTGAAGGACTCAGAAGCTGGCCACCGTCTGCTTCTCTGTAACTGCCAGAACTATCGCTGCAGTGGAGGAGGATCACCAAAGTCTGTAGGATTGATTCTCTGGGCATCACTAATGTTTGAAAAATATTAATTGCATTCAATACAATATTTGTTGAAATATTTCAGTCTGAACCAAAGAGGTGGACCATCAGCCAACACTGTCTTCAGCTTGATTGGTGCAGCTCTGAACTTGTCTGTTTACTCTCCCTGTTGCTCAGTAGGACTTTAATGAGCTAAACGCTATAAAAACGTGAAATCCAAAAATGTGACCTCACTTCCTTTTATCTCCTCCAGGTCGTTGGTGGATTAGACATTCACAAAAAGATGGTGGTGGACGTCTGACAAGTTTATTTTTTCTTCCTCCATTTACTGAAGATCTGCTTGAAGACGTCGTCCATCAAAACGCTCAACGAAAGTATTTTCTCTGTGAATCTCCCCTCCTCCCACCGCCTCCCTCCCTCCTCACCCTCCCTCCCCCCCGAGCCTTCTGAAGCCAAACTCTCACCACGTATTATCGAACAGGAACTCTCTGTGACTCGTCGCACTTTAAAAGCTGACGGACGGCTTTTTAACGCAGAGCGACGGTTTCAGTTTGGTGGAGGAAAGCTGGAGTGTGTGTGTGTCTTTGAGTGTGTATGTGTTCTGTATGTTTTACTGGTTTTTCAAGGTATGTGGGTTTTTTATATTTATTTTGGTGTCATTGGGTTTTTTTCTGTGGAGAATCAAAGGAGTCTATCTTACAGAGAGTGAACTTTAGTGGGTGAGTGTAGTTAGCGGTGATGTTACTTGATTTCAGAACAACACAAACAGCATGAAGTGCCAACAAGAATTTAATGACATGCAGTTGAATTACAGGTAAAAATCTGTGTCTTTATTTTCGAGATGTAACTGTATTATTGAATGCATTTATCTTACTGGAGTGTTGCATTATTTACACTTGAAGATCTGCTTCATTTCACAGTCGTGTTCGGCTACATTTTGTCAGAAATAAAGAGGGAGATTGGGCACTACATGTTTTTAAAGGACAGACTTTGGCTTACATAAGCGCTCATATTTGCTTTTTTTGGCACTTTTGTGTTAAGTTGTAATAACGATGTAGATATTGACGTGAACTTTATTTACAAGTCGGAATTGACTTATTACATAACTCTGGCATGACATGAACGCAGCATACCGTCAGGGACGAGCGACTACTGTTTGAGAGTACTCTATGAAAACTGCTTCACACACGTTTGTAGATTCACTGCAGAAATCTCAACACATAAAACTCTCAGCTTTGTGGAATAAAATCTGACTTGTTGCCGTTTGAATTCAGCCACGAAACGCTTGTCAAGGGTTTTATATTTTCTGTAAATCTGAAGAAAATTAAATTAGTAAACCTGCAGAAATTTAGATAATTCTCATTAAAGTGGAAATAGACAAGTTTTCCCCTTCCTAGCATTTCTAAGTTGTCGCAAAGACAGTCGGATCACTTTCTGTTTTCCTTAGAGACGACCAACGACTGCAGGATGTGCCGCGCTTTGTTTCCCAATGTTACTTTGGTTGCATCACTGTTCACCATTTCTGCTACTGGGGATAATCGCTGCGGAGAACTGAGGAAGAGTTACCGATAAGCCTCATTTCCACCAAGCACCGCTTCATCCGTGTCTGTAAGCGCTCAGAAAACATGCACAAATATGGATGAAATTATGATCCCATCTCACAGGCGGTCCTATTTATATAGATACTGTTTCTGCGCTGTTACTGCGTCCCACGGCGGGTTAAAGGCGAGACAGCTCCCCCCATTCTGCGATTGTACCTCATATACAAAATGGCGAGGCGGTGCAATAGTGTAAATGGGGCGCAGTTGGCAGGGCGCACCTGACTGCGATTCTGTGGTTCTAACGGCACTAAACTTAAAGTCTTTGTTTGAAATGCTGCTAAAGCTACTGGGGGAAACGAAAGCGCCATCCTCTTCCTGTTTTGGTTGTGCACAATGGTTGACACGCTTCCTTTGTGATGTAAAAGAGCCTTCATTTTACTGGAGGATCGTACGCGCTGGAAAACAGCACCGCCGTGAAAGCGAAGTTTATAGGGAACCAATCTAAACGCAGATGGTGTCATTATTCTACAGCCATGACATCGTGCAATCAACATTTACGTCATAATAATTAAAAATGCTTGTCTGTTTCCACTTTACGTCTGCTTTGTGAAAATTAACTGTAAAGCCACTGATTGTTGAACTCAGACTCTCACTTCGACTTTTAGTTTTTAATAATTCTGTACAAAGAAAGTACATATTGTTGTGTTTCTACTCCTGTAAGATTTCCTAAAAACGAGCTCCATCAGGGCAGAATGAGCAGAGACAAGACTGTAAATGATTTTGTAAACCAAACACAGTGATGTTGTGTCGTACTGAACGCAGCTCGTCTGCTTTGGACGTTCACTTCTTTATACTCCAGCTCTCTTTGGGAAGAAGCGAAGCCGAGGAGGATAAAAACAGAATGGCTGTTTAACCGCTAAAAGCTGCTGTACTCAGTGTTTAGTACACTGCCGGCTTTATTTACTGACGCTCTGCAAAAAGACTTTTCTACCTGAAGCGGAAGACTTGTGATGTGTTTGCATGACGTGTGATCTGATCTCCTCTTCTTCTTCTTCTTCTTCTTCTGCCCTCGCTCTTTGCATGTAGATCAGATTTTATTAAAAGCTCTTTAAAGCTTTATTAAAGGTCTTTTTTCAAAGCTGGTCTCAAAATTTAATGAAATGAGTGAAATGTCTTGCGAATGCAAATAATCTCCTCTGTGCATGCTAGTGTATGTATTACTGGTTAAGTTTGACCACTTGCATATTTGAATTTTTATACAGTTACACAATAAAATCTACAGTTTTTGGTGCATGTTCAATAGAAGTCATGAAGAATAGCTTCTTTCAATAGAACTTTAACCCTTAAAAAAAGTTTCTTTCGCTGTTATAGTTTCATATTTTGAACGTGTGGAAACATGTCAGGGTTGTGTTTTTATCAGATAATGTGTTCCATGGTGAGGATAAGTAATCTTAGCATTATTTGTATTGTATTTCATTAATTTTGCATTTCAGAGTTTTGGCTCATTTCATGAAATTCAGTGAGACCGTGTTGTGTTTACATATAAATAATGGTGATAAATAAATAAAAAAACATGAACATTTCAAGCACGTTGATGTTGCCAATAAAGGTTTAAACATAAAAAAAAAAAATAGAACTGTAATCTTAAATGTTTTTTTAGTCGCCTGCCACTCGCTCTGTTTTAGGGATAAATCTTGTTTTTGTTTTTTTCTTTAGGTTGATAATTTTTTGTTTGTTATAAACAGTTAATATCCTGTTTGTTTAATCTGAGGTCGGTGCTGAAGAATCTTCTGTTGGTCTAAAGGGATGTTTGTGATGGAGGCCACATGGACTCAGTCTTAGATTTTCACTCCTGTTTTCATCTTTGCTGCATCACTGAAACTTCATACATGGAAAAATGAGAAATAAACTGTTTGAAAGTTGTTACAGACGCCGTCAACTTCATGTCTCGTGTGTAAATGTTGATGTTTAAGATGTTTAAACTTCAGTGTGACGTTCCACTTGTGTTTATTACAAATCATGTGGTGTTACTCTGATTGTAGAGAAACATAAAGACATGAAAGTTTATTACTGTACAGTCCTGACAGAGTCTTTATGATCTGACAGTAAATTATGTGAGAAATGTTTTTGCAGTGGTGGAAAGTACATTTACTTAAGAACAAATTTGAGGTACTTGAGTATTTTTTCCTACAACATTATTCTTCTATATCTCAGAAATATTGGACTTTCCCACTTCAAAGAGTTTAAACAAACACGTTTTTTTTTTTTTTTTTTTTAATAAGTCAGCTATTCCTGATTAGTCTATTAACTAGTGGACGCAGTTAATAATGAAAACAATCATTAGTTAATAGTTCAAAATGAGCACAGCAGCAAAATCCTGCTTGTATATTAATGCATGAGTCAATCATCTCGTGACATCATATATATATATTTTAATAACTTTAACTGCATTTTACTGGTTATACTTAAAAGTAAAAGTCCTGCATTGAAAATGTTCAGTAAAAGTAAGAATCATTGTATTTTCACAGTGTGGTATTAGTGCTTTTATTTAAGTAAAGCAACTAAATACTTCCTCCTTCACTGCTGGCAGAATGTAGAAGCACATGAGAAGTATTTCTACTGAAGGAAGTTCAAGTACACACTTTGTGGACTCAAATCACTTCACAGTTACATGCACTGCTCTGATGCGACCAGCAGGAGGCAGCGTGAGGCCACGTATAGAGACACAGTATATGGCCAAAAGTATGTGGACAGAGTTTTATCCTGTTAGTGCCACTGAAGTTAGAGTCTCAAATCTTAATGCTCCAACACATGATTAAATCTTAGAGATTAGTTCAGTGGTTTCCTGAGAGCGATGGTAGAAAGTAACTTTAAGTACTGCACATTAGAGACAGACAAATAAACATTAGTAAGCATTAACAGCTCTCTCTAAAATCTAGAAACTAAGGGCAACAACTTAAATATGTGATGTCATAGGGAAAAAAGTCTGGAGCTGCTCCATAGATAATGAGAGGTGAACGATGTTTAGATCAGCGGCTCCCAACTGGTGGGTCAAGGGTCCACTCTGAATGGACCTCAAGTGACTCACAAACGTGTCAAGTTTGTAAAAACACAATTTTTTTTTTTTTTTAAGCACAGTGAATTTCCAGCTCAGAGCTTTATTTTGAAATGCAGTTTCCTTCTGTAGAGGGAGTGATGACTGGACAGACAACGCAAACTAGCTCGAGGACGTGGCCAAATGCCAAATGCAAGTATGACGCTGAATAAATTAAACTGTGTGGACCGTGAGCTAATGACTAAGAGAAATCTGGACCCGTGGCTGGACCAATTGGGAACCAATGTTCTAGAGTACACTGAGAGCAGTCAGGGGAATGTTCTGAGTATATGTTCGGTTTCAGAACTGAGAACACTTATTTTACTACACTAAAATAAAGATCATTAGGGTATAAAGAAGACAAAAGAAAAACAAGCCGTGGGTCCACGAAATCAGGCTCCAAGTCATTCAGTACGTTGATATGACATCAGAGAAAGTCAATTTATTTTGTTAGTCCTGCTAAAACCAGACTTTTAAAATCCATGTAAACATGTTAGTCTGACTGAAATTATACTAAATCAAATTTCTCAAAGTCAGACTAACACACACAGATCATGTGACTCTTGCATGTATACAGTCAATCAGACCCAACCTGGCAAGAAACAGAAGAAGAAGAAGCCGGTGACAACATGGAGAAATCTACATCCAGAGCCGTGACTTTTTGGACGGACCAAATGTACAGAGCTGTAAAGTTGTCCACCATGGTAGCAGTTAGCTGCTAGCTAACCGTAGCTAACTTGTTTGTCCATTGTTTGGTCTGTGACGTAATAGGTCAACAGGAAAAAGGTCCAATACTAACAAGCTGAAAGGGGGCATATCTCCACCTATCGTAGAGGAGTCGCACATACTTGGCTCAATAAATCATATACTGTATACTGGGTTGGGAAGGAATTACTGCCTCAAGCGAGAGAGTTCAAGTATCTCGGGGTCTTGTTTACAGTGAGGGTGGTTTGGTGCGGCTTCTGCAGTGATGTGGGCGCTGTGCCGGATCGTCATGGTGAAGAGGGAGCTGAGCCGGAAGGCGAAGCTTTCAATTTACTGGTCAATCTACGTCCCAACCCTCACCTATGTCATGAGCTCTGGGTAGTGACTGAAAGAACGAGGTCGTGGATACATGTGGCCGAAATGAGTTTCCTCTGTAGGGTGTCTGGGCTCAGCCTCACTGTGCATTCACACCGAGCACGAATTCGCAAATTCGCGCGTAGAGATTACATACAAAGTCAATGCAAAGACGCGATTAGACGCAATAGATGCGTAGGCGCGGCGCAATAGCCACAAAATTCGCGTCCATCGCCTCATCACTCGAGCTGAAAATATTGAACTTTTGAGGCAAATTAGCGTGACGCTGTGCCGCAAAAGCCAATCAGTGTTGAGATTCTCCCGACGTGACGTCTTGACGCCCTGACATCCAGTTGTTGACACAACAATAAACTGCTACTCACCGGAGACATATGGACAGGCGCTCCACAGCTGAAATGGAGCGCCTGTAGTTGGTGTCCTGCCAGGAGATCCAGGCGCCAACCCTCGCCAACAGGTCCTCAGACTGGGCCCCAGTCAGCCTGAAGTACCGCTGAAAGCGGCTATCATCCAGACGGAGTTCCTGGAGCAGGTGGTGAAACTCGCTGAGCTGGATGCGCTTCTGCAGGACAGGGTGAACCCAAAAACAACAGCGTTTGGCCCTCCGACGCATCTGGGACTTCCAGAGCAGGTACAAAGCAGCGATGGTGGTTATCTCAGCCATGGTTGGGGAGAGAATGGCGGGCCAGATGTTGTTATCTAGTGAAAATGGGCGGGCTCGCTACTAGCGCGACTGACGCGATAACGCAAATTAACAAAATGGTCCGGCGTCCAAACTTACGCGTTACTCCCAAGTAATTCGCTTCACACACGCCCGGTGTAAGGGGGATAGGGGGGTAGAGATAGGGGGAGGAGTCAGACATCTGGAGGGAGCTCGGAGTAGAGCCGCTGCTCCTTCGCGTTAAAAGAGGTTAGTTGAGGTGGTGTGGATCCTCCTGTTGGAGGTGTTTGTCCCACTGGTAGGAGGCCCCGGGGCAGACCCAGAACACACTGGAGGGATTATATATCTCATCTGGTCTGGGAACACCTTGGGGTCCTCCAGGAGGAGCTGGGAAGCGTTGCTGTGGAGAGGGACGTCTGGGGTGCTTTGCTCAGCCTGCTGCCCCCGTGACACGGCTTCGGATAAGCAGCTGAAATGGATGTATACTGGTACAAGGACGGTAGTCTGATTAATCAGAGCTATAACCGTAGCTGTAACAGGCAGCTCCAGACTTTATACCCTATGACATCACAAGTTTGACACTTTGTTCTCTGGTTTCTGGCTTTGAGAGAAAAGAGCTCACGTTCACAAATGTTGACTGAACCTCCCTCAGCCGTGGAAACAACATATTGGAATTCTCCAGTTGGGCAGCGTTCCCCTTTAAGTACAGTTTTAAGAGAATTTTCAGTTTTATGATACTTTATACTTTTACTTCACATCTCAGAGACAAAAATTGTTCTTTTAAATGCACTACATTCATTTCCCAATCTGAAGCTACTGGTTTCAGGTTATAAATACAAAATATAATAAATTAATATTGATGTATTATTATAGATTAACTGAGCGACAGTAAAGTGGATCAAACAGCTGCAACATTAAAGTGATGAACACATTAACACATCAGTAACTCTAATCCTGTAATATAATGTAGAATATTCTGAAATGGGCCCCTCTGCACGATGAGTACTTTTAGTTTAGCTCATTTAGGTTTACTTTGATGCTAATACTTTTGTACTTTTACAGATAAAACTTTCCAGGACGAACACTCTGCTGCTCTGGGCTTTATCTTGGTGATGTGCTACACACATCAGTGAGACTCCTGCACACTCAGTCTATCAGACCGTCATACACCAAATGTTGTATGCTCTGAAAATAAATCATGAGCACAGTGTCCATAAATAAATGGTTCAGGCAGCTGCAGATTGATGCACAAAGTTTTGAAATCAAAGAATCAACTTTCACATATGAGTTTAATTTTCTGGTGTCCACATACTTTTGGCCAAGTAGTGTGCATTATGTGACAACATCAGGAGGAGTTTGAGAGTATCTGGAGACAGGAAGTAGCTCTGAAACTGCGACACAAGAGGCGATAAACTGAGCTATTCTTGAGAATATGCAACAAACATTCAAATAAAAATATGGAAGCATGTTTTTATTATTGTTTTTTCCCCTCATAATTATTATAACATGTTAGATCATGATCAGTCAAAATGATCAGTAACAAACACTGATGAGTGGCAGAAATAATTTTCCACTCTGAATGATCAAAAGTTGCTGACTTTTGATCATTTTGAGTTAATTTGTCACCTGATTTTGTCTTTTGATGAAAATATCTTTTAGTTTTGATCAGATTTTAAATATTTGATTAATTTCCATCAGTAAAATTTCAGACGTACTTTCACTGTTCAATATTGATATCAAAGCATCCAGACGATAACAGCTGTCAGCATCTTTACAAATCTTTTGTCATGGAGGAAATGTCCACATCCTGAAACTGATTCATTTTTCATATTTGATACTGTTTTTTAACTCTCCAATTTTGTGCAACATTATTGTTAGACTCAGAGTTTCAGCCTCCGCCTGAATGTTTCCTAATCGCGCTGCAGAAGAAGTCGGCCAGTTGTTGCCGTCACTGCCAATTAAAAGTCTCATTCATACTCCCTCGGCTGAGCCTCGGACCCTCGAACCCGCCGCCTTCTCATGGAACCTGCTCATCTGTTTGTGATTTGCACTCCAGATTTGTTTTCACACGAGCCGACATGAAAGTCTGCAGAGCC